GTGTGTGTGTGTGTGTGTGTGTGTGTGTGTGTGTGGTGTGTGTGTGTGTGTGTGTGTGTGTGTGTGTGTGTTTTACGAGATTATTAGTATGTTTTGTTGTAGTGTGTGTGAGTGTTGTGTACCGAGTGTTGTCAAGTGTCGAGTGTTTGTGTATCCGAGTGTTGTCAAGTGTATCCGAGTGTTGTCAAGTGTATCCGAGGTTGTGTATCCGAGTGTTGTCAAGTGTACCCGAGTGGTCAAGTGTTCCCGAGTGTTGTCAAGTGTCCCCGTGTGTTGTTAGTGTTCCCGAGTGTTGTCAAGTGTATCCGAGTGTTGTCAAGTGTATCCGAGTGTTGTCAAGTGTATCCGAGTGTTGTCGGTAAGTGTTGTCCCGAGTGTTGTGTGTATCCGAGTGTTGTCAAGTGTCCCCGTGTGTTAAGTGTTGTTGTCAAGTGTATCCTGTGTTCGAGTGTTGTCAGTGTTCCGAGTGTTGTCCGTAAGTGTTGTCAAGTGTTCCTGAGTGTTGTCAAGTGTAAGTGTTGTGTTGTGTACCCGAGTGTTTGTATCCGAGTGTTGTCAAGTGTATCCGAGTGTTGTCGGCGTTCCTGAGTGTTGTCAAGTGTCGTGTTGTTCAAGTGTATCCGAGTGTTGTCAAGTGTTCCGAGTGTTGTCAGGTGTATCTAAGTAGTGTGAGTGCTGTCAAGTGTTCCTGAGTGCTTGTTCCCGAGTGTTGTGTGTATCCTGTCAAGTGTTCCCAGTGTTGTGTTCAGTCCGAGTGTTGTCAAGTGTTCCGAGTGTTGTCAAGGTTCCGAGTGTTGTCAAAGTGTTGCCAAGTGTTCCTGAGTGAGTGTTGTCAAGTGTTGAGTGTTGTTCCCGAGTGTTGTCAGGTGTATCAGAAGTGTTGTCAAAGGTATCCGAGTGTTGTCAAGTGTTCAAGTGTCAAGTGTTCCCGAGTGCTGTCAAGTGTTCCCGAGTGCTGTCAAGTGTTCCTGTGTTGTGGTGTATCCGAGTGTTGTCAAGTGTATCCGAGTGTTGTCAAGTGTTCCTGAGTGTTGTCAAGTGTTTCCGAGTGTTGTCAAGTGTTGCGAGTGTTGCCAAGTGTTCCTGAGTGTGAGTGTTGTCAAGTGTTCCGTGTGTGTTCGTGTCTGTTTCCAGTGTTGCCAAGTGTTCCTGAGTGTTGTCAAAGTGTTCCTGAGTGTTGTCAAGTGTTTCCGAGTGTTGTCAGGTGTATCAGAAGTGTTGTCAAGTGTTCCCGAGTGTTTTCAAGTGTATCCGAGTGTTGTCAAGTGTTGTCGAGTGTTGTCAAGTGTTGTCAAGTGTTGTCAAGTGTTGCCGAGTGTTGTCAGGTGTATACGAGTGTTGTCAAGTGTCCCCGAGTGTTGTCAAGTGTCCCTGAGTGTTGTCAAGTGGCAGTAAAACATTGACAGCTTTAACAGTGCCAAGACTTGACTGAACTACTGAGATGTTTTTAATAGGATGATCAAGATTTTCTCTTCTTCTTCTTATCTGTCTATCTATATATCTATCAATCTATCGCGTTTATCATAAAAGAGCAACATGGAAATATATTTTACTACCAAAGGACCCAGATAGTTGCCCAGTCCGAGAGAGAGAGAGAGAGAGAGAGAGAGAGTCTAAACTTACATTGTGATTTGGGTACCAATAACACCAGAACCTATTTTGACTGGAACCCATTATATCTGGGTTCCATTAATACGTCGATCTATTAGGTTTGGATCCCATTAATACGGAGGTCTATTGAGTTTGGATCCCATTAATACCGAGGTCTATTGGATTCGGATCCCATTAATACGGAGCTGTAGTAAGTTTGGATTCCATTATTACGGAGTTCTATTAGTCTTCGATCCTATTATTTCGAGACCCATCAGTCTACGGACATCACCAGACTGGTTTCAAATTTTTCCTTCAACTTTCATCTCCTTTACAAAATGAATCATAGCACTTACTGTATGTTCCACGTGTGTTAAAATGACGTTTCGTGATTTTACACACACACACACACACACACACACACACACACACACACACACACACACACACAGAGGTACAAAGTTGTGTGTTCTTATGTTCAAAATCTGTGCTTTCAACTGTAATTAGGACACGGTATTCTGTATAAGGGTTTGGTAGGAGGAGGGTGTGTAGGTGAGAAGGGTGGGAGGTAGGGGTGTGTGGGTGGGGGGGTGGATGGAGGTAGGGGTGTTTGAGTGTGTGGGGGTGGGGTGGATGGAGGTAGGGTGTTTGAGGTGTGGGGGTGGGGTGGATGGAGGTAGGGGTGTGTGGGGTGTGTGGGTGGGGGCTGGATGGAGGTAGGGGTGTTGAGTTTGTGGGGGGTATGAGGTGTAGATTTGGAGGAGAGAATGAGAGTTTGTCGGTGGATGTGTGAGGAGAGAGAGAGAGAGAGAGTGGGGGGTAGGTGAGGGTGGAGTAGGAGTGGGGGTGGGTAGGTGAGGGTGGAGTAGGGTGGGGACAGTTAGGATAAAAATTATGACACAAGATGACCGTGGGCCCGCCTCATAAGTAACCCCCCACCCCAAGTATAATATCTGACGTAGTCCACAACCCACCCTTCTGGCCCCTGTGTGAAGAGACTGTAGCGTGGCTGTCTTTGATTACTACCACACACACACACACTCTCTCTCTCTCTCCTCTCCCTCTCTCTCTCTCTCCTGAGGCTTTTATTATCTGTCACATTTGTTCCATTGACACATTCCTCGACCAGATGATGGAAAAAAAAACTCCTCCCCGATCATTTGTCGGTGTCTCTAGGGATGTAATGGCGTCTCCAGGGCTGTGTTGGCGTCTCCAGGGATGTGTTGGCATCTCCAGGGATGTGTTGGCATCTCCAGGGTTGTGTCTGGGACTATGTTGGTGTTTCTGGGACTGCCATGGTTGTGCTGGCGTCTCCAGGGCTGTATTGCCTTTCTGGCTGTGATATCGTCTTTAGGGCTGTGTTGGCGTCTGTAGGGCTGTGTTGGCGTCTGTAGGGCTGTGTCTAGGCTATGTCGGTCTGACCAGGTCTCCAGTGTAAGATTTAACACATTCTCCCTCCACCTCCGTCTCTACCACCGCCACCACCACTTCCACCACCACCGGCGTCAGAAACAACTCGAGGCGTAAAGGCTTGAGTCGCTGAGTTGTGGCAAACCGCAGGAATTTAATTACTAAGATAAAGCTCATTAACACCGGGGCCAAATGAATTCTCGGATCCCAAAGCCGTACTAGAATTTCCATATTAAAATTCGTCAGTTGGGTTCGATTAAGTTAGGTTTGTATTATGGGTAGGTGGGATTGTTTGTTTTGGTTGGGTTAAGTTATGTTATGGGTAGATTAGGTTGTTTGTTTTGGTTGGGAGATGGTATAGGTTAAGGTAGGTTAGTTTAAATTCAATTAGTGTCAAGTTAAAGTAGGTTTGGGTAATTTAGGTTTGGTAAGGGTAGAGTACGTGTGATTGTTAGGTTATGGTTAATTTAAGTCAGGTTGCGTCAGGTTAGGATCCAGGGATTAGACAAGCCTTTTGGTGGTTATGGGTGAAATAAGAGAAATAAAGTGAAGAGAAAGAGAGAGAAGAAGAAGAAGAGAGAGAGAGAGAGAGAGAGAGGCATTTTTCGATGGTGAGAGATATTATGTTGTTTAGTTGACCTTACGTGACCTCTCCTGATGACCCCTGATGGCCCTCCTAACATAAAGCCTCTACTGATGATTCGTGGCCTCATATGGCGTCTGATAACCTCCTACATGACCTCTTGATGACCTCCTACATGACCTCTCTTGATGACCTCCTACATGACCTCTTTTGACGATCTTACATGATCTCGTGATAACTATGACCTCTCGTGATGACTTTTTATGACCTCACGTGATGACCTTTTATGACCTCACGTGATGACTTTTTATGACCTCACGTGATGACCTTTTATGACCTCACGTGATGACCTTTTATGACCTCACGTGATGACCTTTTATGACCTCACGTGATGACCTTTTATGACCTCTCGTGATGAAAACACCACTTACACCCACCTACCATTTGTTACATCCATATACGCTTCCATACACCCCACCTACACTCCACTTACGCCCCACTTACCGCCCTCTTACACCCACTTACACCTCCATACACCTACTTTACACTCTTTTTTTCATCATTCAAATCATTTATCTATTATAGCATTTTTTTTCGTTAATTTGGAGACTGGCCAGATGGAGGTTCCTGTACCCCTGCCAAAATCCATTAACCCCGGGATTTGGGTGATTATATAGAATGACCTTTTTCTATTGACAGGTGAAAAAGTGGCCCCATTTGTAGTGGCTGCAGATTGGGTTGTCTGGTGAAATTGGGAACAGGGCGAGGAAGAAGGGAGATGGTTGTGGTCACCTATTTCAAATAATTAAGTCAGGTGGAATTGGGGGGTAAGGTGAAGGGAAGGAAGGGATGAAGGGAAGGATGGGTGATCACCTATCAAAAAAAAATTGTCAGGTGTAATTGGGGACAAGATGATGGAGAGAGAGGGAGAAAGGCCTCCTATTTCAAATCAGTCTCTCTCTCTCTCTCTCTCTCTCTCTCTCTCTGTAGATAGACTATGGCACAGAGATAGATAAATGACGTATGGGAGGAGGGTGGTGGAGAAAACGGGTCACCAGGTAAAATTTGGGATAACTTTTCCCTTTTTTTTTCCTCTCCTCAAATTTACCTCTATTGTCCTTCATCACTGTACAGTAGCTAAAACAACTATCTGTGCAGGTGGGGGTCGATATGCTCCGAAATTTTACGTGTGACTAGTGACAGCCCTCATATACCAAAATTTATCGTCCATGGTCTCATATTGTTTCCCGCAAAGTATGCACGGATAGTTGTTTTAGCTACTGTACATAAAGTTACAGTTTGGGATGTGAAAGCGGTCGGGTGCAGTGTCGGTTTAGTATGTTGTGTGTTGTATGGAATCTTGTGGAGTGTAGGTTGTGTTTTATTGGTGCTAACAACTCTTTTTGTTTCTCTTTGCAGATACCTTGAACTGGCACGTCTCTTACTACCCACGGTGAGTGTTACCGTGTGTGTGTGTGTGTGTGTGTGTGTGTGTGTGTGTGTGTGTGTGTGTGTGTGTGTGTGTGTGTACGTGTGTGTGTGTGTGTGTGTTTATAGATTCTTAAGCGTCCTTCTCTCACTCTCATCCTTTCTTTCCACCCCATCCTCCTCCTCCACCACCTCCTCTCCTCCTCACCACCCTCCCACCTCTCACTCATACCACCCTCCTCCTCCTCCCTTACCACCCTCCTCCTCACTCCTTACCACCCTCCTCCTCACCACCCTCCTCACACGTCAGAGGATAAATTCTTTACTTCCTTTTGTGCTCAAGTTTTTTCTAGTGAAGAGGAAAATTAGGCCGCGTTTTATAGGCGTCTTCCTCGCATCTCCTCTTCCTCCTCTTTCCTCTACCCCTCTTCCTCCTTCCTCCTCCTCTTCTTCCTCCCTCCTCCTCTTCCTCCTTCTCATCTTTTTTTTCTTCATTTCGTCCCTCCACTTCGTTCTCTCCCCCTCCTCCCCCCAGTCGTTTTTCTCTATTTTCTGCTGCTGTTCCTCCTCTTCCGTTTCCTCTTTCCTTCTTTTTAATTTTCCTCCTCTTCTCTTTGTTTCCACCTTTCTCTTTTTATCCTTCCCTACCAATTATCACTTTATTCCATTCTATCTTTAATTTTCCTTTACATCTTCCTCCTCTTCCCTGTCTTCGCCCCTTTTTCCCCCTCTTTATTTTCTCTTCTTCTTCCCCCAACCTCTACCATCTTTCCTCCTCTTATCCTTTTACTCTTCATCCCCAAACATGTACCCTCTTCGCCCAGTTACCAGCGCTGGTCGTATATACAAGCAGTAGATACAGAGTATATCACAAGTGTCGTCGAATTACCGCTACCTGTCCCGTTAGTCTCTGGTAATTTCCCGACGATCGGTATCAGCGTACAGAGACAACAACAGGCAGGTAGATTTCCACCAGGTCACAGAAACACACTTGTGAACTGTAGTTTTTTAATATTTACTAAGTCATCACAAAACTGTTCACAGGGTATGTCTTTACCACTGGACTCCTCACTTTGTATATGTACAGCCAGCAAACCACCAGTGTACAATCCCTGAGTCTTTTCACTTTATATCGCTCACAACTATTCCACAATACTTGAACAACAATAATCTTCAGCTGTCACTAGGCTTGTACTTCACACTCTGTGCAGAAACGGGCGATTGACTTGACCAGACAACTCGCTGGCTGTTTATATACCTCTCGTCAGACGCCCCTAGAACATCCTAGCGCCACCCGGGCCTTGCAGATCGGAGAGAGATAAAACTGTGAAGTAAATCCTTACACAGGTAATATAATCAATATATACAATAAAATCTCCCCAAACTTGCCAAAATAACTGCTGCTTGGGATAGAAGTAATCAGAAGACCGAGTTCACAAAAATTATAATACTAAATTATGCCTCGGCATAACACCCTCTTCCCTCTTTTCACCTATTCTCTTCTTTCGTTTCTCCCCTCTTATCCTTTTCCTCTGTATCCAACCCTTCCCTGTTCTCCCTGTTCTCCATCATCTCTTCCCCTTCCTTCCTCCTCTCCCTCCCCCTTCTCCCTTTCCTCTCTCCCTAACCCCTTCTTCTTCCTTTCTCCCTAACCCTTCTTTCCTTTCTCCCTAACCCCTTCTTCCCTTTCCTAACCCCTTCTTCCTTCCTCCTTCCTCCTCCCTCCTCTTCCCTCCCTCCCCTTCCTCCCCTCCTCTTCCTCCCCTTCTCCCTCACCCTCCCTTCCCTCCCTTCCTCCTCTTCTTCCTCCTCTTCTTTCCTTTCTCCTTCCCTCCCCTTCCCTCCCCCTCTCACAACATTGATGACGTAAGAATGTTGATGTAACATTCTTGGTGTGAGAGTTGAACGTAAGAATGTGTGGAATTAAGGTAAATGTTAATGTTTACAAGTTCTTTCTCATCTTTATTGTGGTTTTGCTTCTTCCCATTTGCATTTTTACTGTCATTATATGTTTGGCTACATACCTGCATATCATGTTATCACCTGTCCAAGTGTTTATTAAGGTAGTCGTAGTGAAGTACAGGTGTGTGTGTGTGTCCGTGTGTGTGTGTCTCTTGCTACACACTTGCCTCCCTCCCACCCTCTCCTCCTTCAGGTGTGTTAATGAAGTATACCTGTGTTTGTTTTCCAGTTGGCGAGGAGGGTCAGGCGGGGATGAGGTCATCTGTGTGACGTCATGGTGCCCAGAGGTCACGGCCACTGCTCCTGCTAGCATGTGTGTTGATGCTCGTAGTCTGCCCTCCCTCAAGGTGAGAGACTGTGTTGATGATGTTGATGATTTACCTGTGTTGATATACCTGTGTTGATGAATTACCTGTGTTGATGATTTACCTGTGTTGATATACCTGTGTTGATTTACCTGTGTTGTTGGTATACCTGTGTTGATGATATACCTGTGTTGATGTTTACCTGTGTTGATATACCTGTGTTGATGATTTACCTGTGTTGTTGATATACCTGTGTTGATGATTTACCTGTGTTGATGATTTACCTGTGTTGATGATTTACCTGTGTTGATATACCTGTGTTGATTTACCTGTGTTGTTGATATACCTGTGTTGATATACCTGTGTTATGATTTACCTGTGTTGATGATTTACCTGTGTTGATGATTTACCTGTGTTGATGTTAATTTTTCTGAGAAAAAGTTGATGTTTTTTCCTTTCCCTGTATCCGTCCGCTTTTCCTGTATCCGTCCGTCTTTCCTGTATCCGTCCGTCTTTCCCTGTATCCGTCCGCATGTCCCTATATCCGTCCGCCTTTCCTGTATCCGTCCGCTGTCATCCGTCCGCCTTTTCCTGTATCCGTCCGCATGTCCCTGTATCCGTCCGCATGTCCCTGTATCCGTCCGTCTTTCCCTGTATCCGTCCGCATGTCCCTGTATCCGTCCGTCGCTCCGTTTATATGTCTGTAAAATTCTCCCCAAGTTAATCCAATAGTGTCCAATTTTCATCGACTTTTTTTTTTTAATTATTTTTTTTTTGTTTTGTTGTTATGTTTATGCTAATTTTGTATTCATGTACGTCATTGTTTTTGTCCGAAGTTTGTTTGGCGGTGACTGTGTTGACGTTAAATATTTGGTTGAGAATTTAGTTGGAGATTTTGAAAGTTAAGGGAATTAGGTCAGTAAATCCCACAGTTTGGAAGGGATTACTTTAAACTCCCTCATTTAGGATTAATATTTTTTTTTTTTCGGTTATATTAATACGAGTTTTAAATATTGTGCCTTCTTTAATGTCTGAGGGTTGGAGACCACGCCCTACCACTTCAACCATTTTCAGGCGTATTTTTTATATTTTTTCTAATTTATTTTATTTATTTAGTTTTTTTTCAATTCTCAAAATATTATATACCTTTTCTGGACATCGTGTATATTGTATTCATCCACCCTAGCCTCTACCCCCCACCAACCATTAGTTTCACTGATTGATAAAAATATATTGTTTCTACCATAATCCTCTTGAGTCTTAAGTTATTTTACTTAGATTTTTGCGCGTGTGTGTATTTATTTATTCAACTTTCAGTATTGTTCTCATTGATTTAGCGAGATAGAGAGAAACTTAACCTCGAGATTGAGAGCGAGAAAGAGAAAAAAAGAAAAAAGAAAAAAGAAATGGGTGGGTGAGACTTGGCATATTGTGTTAGAGTGAGAGAGAGAGAGAGAGACGTGGTTCAGCTGGGTGGTCTCGTCTCCAGCCGCTAAACCTATTTTATGTCTTTATGATCAAGTCATCTCACCACAAAGGATGGGGTGAGGGTGAGGGATGAGAGTGGGGTGAGGGGATGAGAGTGAGGGTGAGGATGGGAGTGAGGGTTGGGATGGGAGTGAGGTGAGGTTGGGAGTGAGGAGGTGAGGATGAGAGTGAAGGGGTGAGGGGATGGGAGTGAGGGTGTGATGGGAGTGAGGGTGAGGGATGGGTAGGGGATGTGATGGGAGTGAGGGTGAGGGTTGGGGTGAGGGTTGGGAGTGAGAGGTGGGGATGAGGTGAGGGTGAGGATGGGAGTGAGGGGGTGTGATGGAGTGAGAGGTGAGGGATGAGAGTGAGGGGTGAGGGATGGGAGTGAGGGGGTGTGATGAGATGAGGTTGGGAGTGAGAGGTGAGGATGAGAGTGGGGGTGAGGGATGGAGTGAGGGGTGTGATGGGAGGTGAGGGGTGAGGGGGATGAGGTGAGGGGAGGTGGGGTGGGGGGGTGTGATGGGAGTGAGAGGTGAGGGGGATGGGGTGGGGTGGTGATGGGGGGAGAGGGTGAAGGGGTGGGGGTGAGGGGTTGGGAATGAGGGGTGGGGGGTGAGGGGATGGGGTGAGGGGGGTGTGATGGGAGTGGGGGTGAGGGTTAGGGGTTAGGGGTGAGGGTTGGGGTGAGAGGTGAGGGATGAGTGAGGTGAGGGGATGGGAGTGGGGGTGTGATGGGTGGGGTGAGGGATGGGTGAGGGGATGTGATGGGAGTGAGGGGTGAGGTTGGGGTGAGGGTTGGGGAGGGGATGAGGTGAGGGGGTGAGGGGATGGGGTGGGGGTGTGATGGGAGTGGTGAGGGATGGGGTGGGGTGGTGATGGGGTGGGGTGAAGGGTGAGGGGTGAGGGTTGGGAATGGGGGTGGGGTGGGGGGATGGGAGTGAGGGGTTGATGGGAGTGAAGGGTGAGGGGTGACTGATGGGAGAGAGGTGAGGGGTGACTGATTGGAGTGAGGTGAGGTGGGGGATGGGAGTGGGGTGAGGGATGGGAGTGAGGTGAGGATGGGGTGAGGGTGATGGTTGAGTGAGAGGTGAGGTTGGAGTGAGGTGAGGATGGGGTGAGGTGAGGATGGGGTGAGGTGGGGATGGGGTGAGGGTGAGGGATGGGAGTGAGGGGTGAGGGATGGGAGTGAGGGGTGAGGATGGGAGTGAGGGGGTGTGATGGGGATGAAGGGTGAGGGTGACTGATTGAGTGAGAGGTGAGGGAGGATGGGGGTGAGGGTATGGGAGTGGGGTGGGATGGGAGTGAGGTGAGGATGGGGTAGGGGTGAGGGATGGGAGTGAGGGTGAGGGATGGGAGTGATGGTTGGTGATGGGAGTGAAGGTGAGGATGGGAGGAGGGGTGAGGAATGGGAGTGAGGGGTGAGGGATGGGAATGAGGATGTGATGGGAGTGGGGGTGGGGTTGGGAGTGAGGGGAGGAGGGTGTGTGGCGCCTGGCCGAGCTTGATTGACCTGTCGGATTTCTGAGATTTGTGAGGTGGAGGATGTGGGGGGCTTTCCCCGTCCTTCTCTTCCACTTCCTTCCCTCTTCCCCTTCCTCTCCACTCCTCTCCTTCCCCCCTCCCTCCTTCCTTCCCTCTCCTCCTTCCCTTCCCTCTCCTCCTTCTCTCCTCCTTCCCTTCCCTCTCCCTCCTCCTTCCCCTCCCTCCTTCCCTTCCCTCTCCTCCTCTCCCCTCTCCCTCCCTTCCTTCCCTCTCCTCCTCTCCTTCCTCCACTCCTTCCCTTCCTCTCCTCCTCTCCTTCCCCTCTCCTCCTTCCCTTCCTCTCCCTCCTCCCTTCCCTCTCCACTCCCTCCTTCCCTCTCCCCCTTCCCTCCCCTTCCCCTTCCTGTCTGTCTATGTTTCTGACGTCTTTCTGATTAGTGTGTGGTGATAGTGTAGAGGTTGATGATGGGGATGGGTGAAGGTGTGTGGTGGTGATGGGGTAGGGTGTATGATGATGTGAGAGAGGAAGTGTGGGTGAGGTGGTGGTGGTGATGAGGGTGGTATGATGTATGGATAAGTTGCGTGGTGGTGATGGGGTGTAGGGGTGTGTTGTATGATGGTGATGGGTGGTGGGGATGGGGTGTAGGGTTGTGTTGCGTGGTGGTGATGGGGTGTAGGGTGTGTTGTATGATGGTGATGGGTGGTGGGGATGGGGTGTAGGGTTGTGTTGCGTGGTGGTGATGGGGTGTAGGGGTGTGTTGTATGATGGTGATGGTGGGGATGGGGTGTAGGGTTGTGTTGTGTGGTGGTGATGGGGTGTAGGGTGTGGTATGATGGTGGTGGTGATGGGGGTGTGGGTGTGGGGTGTGTGGTGGTTATGGGGTGTAGAGGTGTTGTGTGGTGGTGATGGGGTGTAGAGAGGTGTTGCGTGGTGGTGATGGGGTGTGGGGTGTATTGTGTGGTGATAGTGTAGGGAGGTGATGGGTGCGAAGGTGGAGGGATGTTAGTAGTTATGAGGTGTGATGTTGGTCGTGTTGTGTGGGAGAGGAGCATTACAACACAGGAGGGAACCTTCACCCTCCTCTCCCCCCTCTTCATCCCAAACCCCCCTCCCTCCCAACCCCCTCCTCCTCCTCCTCCTCCTCCTCCTCCTCCTCCCACGCCAGAGACAGTCATTACCCGCATAAGAACCGCACATAGAATCCAATGGGCGAATTTCCTGCCCTCTAGATTGATGGCAGAGTCCAAATGTTGTCAGGACCAACGAAAGACATCATTAACGACCTTGTTTTTTCTTGTGTGTGTGTGTGTGTGTGTGTGTGTGTGTGTGTGTGTGTGTGTGTGTGTGTGTGTGTGTGTTTGTGTTTCAGTGGCAGCCAAGTACACCTGTCTGTAGTTTTTGACGGTGTGTTGCCAGGCGTGGGTGTGTTGCCAGGCGTGGGTGTGTGATGCCAGGTGTGGATGTGTTGCCAGGCGTGGGTGTGTTGCCAGGTGTGGGTGCGTTACCTGCCGGTGTGCCAGTGCTGGTTAGTTGCCAGGCGTTGGTGTATTGCCATACAGGGGTGTGTTGCCATGCGGGGGTGTGTTGCCATGCGGGGTGTGTTGCCAGACGTGGGTGTGTTGCCAGGCGTGGGTGTGTTGCCAGGGTGGGTGTGTTGCCATGCGGTACGTTGCCATGCGGGTCGTTGCCAGGCGTGGGTGTGATGCCAGCCGGGGTGTGCCAGTGTTGGTTGGTGCCAGGCGTTGGTGTATTGCCACGGGGTGTGTTGCCATGCGGGGTGTGTTGCCATGCGGGGTGTGTTGCCAGGCGTGGGTGTGTTGCCAGGGGTGGGTGTGTTGCCATGCGGGGTACGTTGCCAGGCGTGGTGTGTTGCCAGCCGGGGTGTGCCGGTGTTGGTTGGTTGCCAGGCGTTGGTGTGTTGCCAGGCGTTGGTGTGTTGCCAGGCGGGGGTGTGTTGCCAGGCAGGGGTGTTTTGCCATGCGGGAGTGTGTTGCCAGGCGGGGGTGTGTTGCCAGGCGTGGGTGTGTTGCCAGGCGTGGGTGTGTTGCCATGCGGGGGTGTGTTGCCAGGCGTGGGTGTGTTGCCATGCGGGGTGTGTTGCCATGCGGGGTGTGTTGCCATGCAGGGGTTTGCCAGTGTTGGTTGGATTGCCATGCGTGGGTGTGTTGCCAGGCGGTGTGTGTTGCCAGGCGGTGTGTGTGCCAGAAGGGTGTGTGATCACATACGGGGTGTGCGATGCCAGACAGGGTGTGTTGCCAGGCGTGGGTGTGTTGCCAGGCGGTGAGTTGCCAGACAGGGTGTGTTGCCAGGTGGTGTGTGATGTCAGACGTGAATATGCAAGTGTTGGTATGTTGCCAGGCGTGGGTGTGCGTGTAGTTTTTCACACACACACACACACACACACCTGGTTCCTGGCCTCCATGATAATATGGAGGAACCACAACACATCTTACCGTATCTATATATCCAGTGTTAAGGAGCTTTTTATTATTATTATTATTATTATTATTATTATTATTATTATTATTATTATTATTATTATTATTATTATTATTATTATTATTATTATTATTATTATTATTATTATTATTGATTCCTCTATAAATGTTGAATAATTATCTGTGCAAGTTACAGTCGCGTAAACGTAATTCTTTGTATCTCACTGTAATGCCAGTTTTGCGTACTGTGAATCACCACATGTACTGCTTTTATCACACACACACACACACACACACACACACACACACACACACACACACACACACACACACACACACACACACACCAACTTACTCATAGTTCCTTCCATAATTACCCCAAATTAACACAAATAGGTGACAGTACATCATTACAACTTGCAGGAGTAGCAGAAGAAGGCAACGGGTTATGGTGACGATATTGTACCAGGTGTCGTATCTCTTGTTGTTGCAGGTGTGGGGTGAGGCGCACCTCTACTATGGGTGAGCGCTGGAGGGCAGGATGGCCAGGCGCGAGGGTCATGGGCCAGCACCCCCACCTCCTCCACCACCACCTCCTCCTCCACCTCCTCCTCCTCCCACCAACATGGGCATCGTCACGCTGCTAGTCCTCCTGGGTCTCCTCTCCTCAGGTAAGCCTTCCTCGTTACCCACCTTTAATTAAGATGTAGAGACAGGTGAGTTGGGCGTGATGTGTCTTGCAGTGGACTCTTTTTATGAGGCTATTTCTTCGCCTTGGGTTACCTGTAAGTGTTAACGAGGTGACAGGTAGGTGTAAGAGTTTTTGTGGGTATAAATGAGGTAGGTTTAAGGCTAATTAAGTGACGGAAAGGTGTAAGACTAATTAATGAGGTAAGAGGTAGGTGTAAGGCTAATTAGGTGACGGGTAGGTGTAAGACTAATTAATGATATTTTTGGTAGGTGTAAAACTAATTAATGAGGTAACAGGAAGGTGAAAGACTAATTAAGAATGTGACAGGTAGATAATTTGATCTACTGAAATGAACTCTTAACTTAACGTGAATTTAACATAACTTGACGTAACCTACAGTAGACTTTACACTGTAGGAAGAGTCGTAGTCCTGTAGCCATAGTGAAACGTGGGTTGTGGTCACCGTAGAATTATGTAGCCGGATTATGGTGCACAGTATCTGTCGCTGTACTTGTGTGTGTGTGTGTGTGTGTGTGTGTGTGTGTGTGTGTGTGTGTGTGTGTGTGTGTGTGTGTGTGTGTCATACTTCTTTGTTTCAACTGCCATCTCTAATATCAACTAGTGGAGAGAGATACTGAGAGATTGGGTAATAAAGACAGAGAAAAACAGAGACAGAACTACAAATAAAGAGACAGACAGAGATAAGTGAGAGAGAGAGACAGGTACTACAGGGAGATAGTATAAGTGAGAGACAGGTGAGAGACAGGTACTACAGGGAGATAAATAAGAGACAAGGAGAGAGACCACCAGCATGATCATACTGAATTATCTCCCTCACCTGCTGGCTTAACCCCCCTCACTACTGCTGGCTTAAACCCCCTCACTCACTGCTGGCTTAACCCCCCTCCTCACTGCTGGCTTAACCCCCCTCACTCACTGCTGGCTTAACCCCCCTCACTCCTGCTGGCAACCCCTCACTCACTGCTGGCTTAACCCCCTCACTCCTGCTGGCATAACCCCCCTCCTCCTGCTGGCAATCCCCCTCACTCACTGCTGGCTTAACCCCCCCCTCACTCTGCTGGCTTAACCCCCTCCTCACTGCTGGCTTACCCCCCTCACTCTGCTGCTTACCCCCCTCACTCCTGCTGGCAACCCCCTCACTCACTGCTGGCTTAACCCCCTCACTCACTGCTGGTAACCCCCCCTCACTCACTGCTGGCTTCCCCCCTCCTCCTGCTGGCTAACCCCCCTCCTCCTGCTGGCAACCCCCCTCACTCACTGCTGGCTACCCCCCTCCTCCTGCTGGCTTAACCCCCCTCACTCACTGCTCTTACCCCCCTTCACTCACTCTTCACTCCCTCCATAGGCATATAAACCGACACTCCAGAATTTCTCCCTATAGGCCTACACTGTCTCAGAGTGTCTCCCCATAGGCGAAAAGTCTCAGGATTTAACCCCATGGAATTAAAACCTCACTCTCCATAGGCTTACCAACTTTCTCACCAGGATTTAACCTCATAGGCCTTCAAACTCTCCCCAGAATTTATCCCCATAGACCTACACAATTTCACCCCATGATTTCTTGCTATACGGTTGCAAATGTTCTGTCATTTCCCCCCCAATAGGCCTATAATTTGTGTCCCTTTGTATTCTCCCCTTAGGCCTTCAGTCATTCTTCTAGGTTAGCTCGTCTTAGGCCTATGATATAATATATATCCCGGAGATATTTGCCTTAAAAATACAGTGTGTCTCCATGGGAAATTCTCTCCATAGGCTTATAAACATTCTCTTGGGGTTTGAAGATAAATATTTGAGGTGGTGGGGGGGGGTACTTCTCAACCCCTACCCCCACTACCTTATACCCCTAGCCCATCCCCAACCTCTACTATCCCGTTCCCAATCCCTGCTATCCCATCCTCAATCCCTACTATCCCATCCCCAACTATCCTATCCTCAATCCACCACTACCCCTCCTCCATCCAAAACTACCCCTCCTCCATCCACCCTACCCCTCCTCCATCACCACTACCCCCTCCTCAATCACCACTACCCCTCCTCCATCCACCACTACCCCTCCTCCATCCACCACTACCTCCATCCACCACTACCCCTCCTCCATCCACCAGTACCCCCTCTCCATCCACCACTACCCCTCCTCCATCCACCCTACCCCTCCTCCATCCACCACTACCCCTCCTCCATCCCACCACTACCCCCTCCTCCATCCCACCTACCCCTCCTCCATCCACCACTACCCCTCCTCCATCCACCACTACCCCCTCCTCCATCCACCACCTACCCCTCCTCCATCACCACTACCCCTCCTCCATCCACCACTACCCCTCCTCCATACCACCCCCTCCCTCCATCCACCACTACCCCTCCTCCATCCCCACTACCCCTCCTCCATCCACCCTACCCTCCTCCATCACCACCCTCCCTCCATCACCACCCTCCTCCATCCACCACTACCTCCTCCATCCACCACTACCCCTCCTCCATCCCCACCTACCCCCTCCTCCATCCACCACTACCCCTCCTCCATCCACCACTACCCCCTCCTCCATCCACCACTACCCCCTCCTCCATCCACCACTACCCCTCCTCCATCCCCACCTCCTCCATCCACCACTACCCCCTCCTCCATCCACCACTACCCCTCCTCCATCCACCCACCCACCCACCCCTACTCCCCATCCTCCTACTTCCCCATAAATGACATAGTACATTTTCTCTAGTACACATAATTATTGGAACCTTATGACGTATAGAAACCAATGACGTTCGTTTAAAAACCTATTGGCGCATTAAACAAAACCCCTACACCCTTGGCTATAGCTCCCACATAGGCCTAAGAAATTGTCGTATATATATTAACCACCATAGGTCTAAAAAGTTATCTCCTTTTAGTTTATCTCCCATAGGTCTAAACATGTCTTATAGTTTATCTCACATAGGTCTAAAAATGTCTTATAGTTTATCCCATAGGCCTAAAATATGTCTTATAGTTTATCCCCATAGGCCTAAAAATGTCTCCATATGGTTTATCCTGCATAGGCCTGAAATGACTTTCCTTGTGGTTTATCCCCCAGAGGCCTAAAATGTGTTTCCATAGTGTATCCCCATAGGCCTAAAAAATCTTATGATTTATCCCATGTAGGCCTAAAATTTATATCCTTATATTTTATTCCCATAGGCATAAAAAAATCAGTGTATCCCCATAGGCCTAAAATATATCATATAGTTTACCCCCATAGGCCTAAAAAGTCTCCTTATAGTTTATCCCCATATGCCTAAAAAAAAATCTGTCATAGTATATCCCCCATAGGCCTGTCTCTCACCAAGATTTTCTTCTCCCAGTAGGCCTAGAAATTTATGTCATAACGTGGCCCACTTGTGTTATGTTCAGTATGCTAATGTAACGATCAAAGGGAAAACTCGGTTCCTTATATCACACAACCTTGGTGATCGTAATTTTTCTTTTTTCTTTTCTCTACTTCTCTTCCCTTTTCGTATTTTTCTTTTTCAACCCTCTTTTGTGTCTTTGTCTATCTCGTTCTCTCCTCTTACTTTTAATTTCCTCTCTGACATGAAGTGGGCGAACGTCCGACTAACAATATTTTCCTTAAGCGAGGCTCCAGACGCAGTTGATTGCTTACACTGGCAATGGGCTATTTTATGGTACGGCCCAGAGTGTACCACAGTATCCATAATGAATAATAGGAAACGATAATAAATAATATAATAGTGACAGTAGTAAATAATAATAATAATAAAATAACGATGAATAAGTCAATAATTTAATAATAATAATAATAATAAAAAGTAGGATACGTAGCTGAAGTGAGATTCATATATAATTTATGGTATAATAATCTTTTTCCATTGTACATCAACGAAATTCGAGAAGACGTAATTTGAAAAGTTATAACTCATTTTCAGAGATTTTGTGAGGCATTAGTGGCTAGGATTATTCATGAGTGTAATTTAATTCTGGCGGTGGAGAGGGAAGGCCGTAACCAGGCAAGATGGCCGCCCACTGTGTCACTCCCAGGCTGTACGTCATTTGAATAGGGAATATTTCACCACACACACACACACACACCTTCCCTTCCGTTCCCTTCCAGAAAGAAAAATCTTCGTAACTTTTTAGTTTTGTCTTATATGAAAGTAAATCATTAACTCACTTTCGCCTTTACAGTCCAGATGTAATGTTTACAGCCCAGTCTTCTTAGAGCTGGCAGGGGTGGGGGCTGAGTGGGTCACGCCCTTGGAACCCGGCACGACGAAATGGATCTGCGGAACACGAATGACATTTTACTGAGATGAGGTTCTTAAATCCTCAAGCCAGTCTCTTAAGTAGGTTCTGTAAGCTGGATAAGGCCCTTGGGGATGTTTTCTTCATGGCCAGATAGACCCTGTGTGTGTGTGTGTGTCGACCATGGTGGTGATATATTCTGTCTGCCTCCTTCCCTCCCTGTCGTACACCCGTTTACTTTTTTCTCTCTCAGTTTCCTTACTCTCCCTTTCCTCTCGCTCTTGCTCCTCCGTTACTCTCCCCTTGTCCTTCTTTTCCCTCCCTTTTCCTTCTTCCCTTCCCGTCCCTTCTTTCTCCCTTTCTTCTTTTCCTCCCTTTTTCATTCTTTTCCCTCCTTTTTTCATTCTTCCTCCTTTTTCTTCTTCCTCCCTTTTTCATTCTTTTTTTCCCATCTTTTTTATCCTTCTTCCCTCCCTTTTTCATTCTTTTCCTTCCCTTTTCCTTCTTTCTCCTCCCTCTTTTCTTCCCCCCTTTTTTATTCTTTTCCCCCATTTTTACTTCTTTCCTCCTTTTTTCCCTTTCATTCCTCTCCATTTTTTCATTCCCTCCCATTTTCCCTTTTCTCCTTTTTTTCCCTCCCTTTTTCCTTCTTTCCTCCTTTTCCTTTCTTCCCCTCCCTTTTTCATTCTTTCCTCCTTTTTTCATTCTTTTCTCCCTTTTTT